TTCCCGCCCGATTTCGCGCGAGTTAAAACTTACGAAGACAAAGAATTGACCTACTATCTGAACATTTTGCGGCTACCGCCCTCCTGTGTCCGTCTTCCTTTCACCGCGGTCTTTCCTTTTGTCGTCACACCCCCCCCCAAACAGTTGCAGTCTTTCATTTGTTTACTAGATTTCAAACCTAACTTTGACTTATTTATTTTGGTAAACCAAGGGCTTTTAATGCTTTACTTTTACCTTATTTCTATGTTTATTTTGCCAGTGCCAAATAAAAGTCTTTCTCCAATATCCCCTTAACTCTTTGCCGTTGTTTCAATCGATTGGCTTGCGTATGCATCCCCGTTTTTCCTCTTCATCCTTAAAGCACTCAGAATGGGCAATCAAATCTATGGGACAATGTCTTCGCAAATGGCCAGTTGCGAGGAGTGCTTACAGGAATTACAAATTCCCCTAAAAGTCGAAGAGGAGCTTTTTGGTTCTCGTCTATTTAAAGTGGCCAAAGTGAGGTACGCCTCTCTCTATATCTCTTTTTAATGCCCTTCTCGCCAACTGTTACCACATGAGGTGTCCTCGCTGCAATTAAAGCCTACGACTGATTTCACTCATGGGTTGTTTTCTCACGCGAGTCCGACCGAGCTACAGATGGACGCAGTTTTTCTGCTGCTACTACTGCTGCTGCTACGACCTCATACCTCAATTCGCACTAAGTATATTAAGTAACTAGTCCTTCAATTTATGTATGCCGTTCTCATGAGATGATCTTTCACGGCGGCAACCACCGGCTTAACGCATCAGTACATTGCGCATGCCTATCGGTCATTATTGAGGTAAATGTATGCTGTCCCAAAGCGTCCTGATCGATTGGTGTGCAAGCAAAAAGTTTGCCACTCCTGCGGATTCACTGCATTGGTCGAGTCGACAGTGGACAGGCAGTTTCTGCTACTGTTTTATGCTAATGTTTCTGATGGTGAATCCGCGACGGATGTCGAAACGTCAGGCGAATAAAAGTATTGTCCTAGCGATCGAGTTGTCTTCTTCTCAGTTTCCGCTGGTTCCATACGCGGCCTGCCATCCTCCTTCATCAGTCATTTCTAAGAAGCTTCCAATGGTGTCTACTGGTTTATCGTCGTTTAGGCATGTTATGCTCCAGCCTCCAATTAGACACTCGTTTTGACACTATTATAGTAAAGCCGTGTCATGTCAATTTCTAGCATTTCTTTATGATTTACTCCTGCTCATCTTTTCAGGAATCCAGATCCCGAGGCTTCTGCACCGAAAATTGTGAAGATCTTCCCCTACACCAAAGCCACTTTTCGCATAGCCGAAGCCCAACAAACTGTCCTTCCCTTTTGTAAACATATTGCGGACGCCCTGAACCTTCTACCAATAACGTCGTAAGTTCCCGTAGCATTATTTATGGATCTATGAGCGTATATACAAAAGTACTGTTTAAAGAAGAAGAAGAAGAAAAAGAAGAAGAAGGGCGAAAGTTCACCCTCCGAATGCAGTTCCAGAACGTTGATTCGAGTTCTATTAACCTGAAGAGTCTCAATCTTCTTGCTGAATAAGTAAACTTTCAACCTGCTCTGTGGAGTTGGACGTTTGTGTTTGGTTCAGTTGCGCGTCAGAGTTGTGTTTTGGTCGGCGGTTGACATCAAACGTGTTCTTTTTCGGAACCAAACATTTTGGGGGCTATTTGGCCAGAGTGCTACCCATATTCAAAGTTTAATTCCGTTGAGCGGGAATCGCGTTTTGGCCTTCCACCTCCTTGAGATTTTTGCAACGAGTTCAGTGGATGTCCCTAAACCTACTAGGAAGTTTTACAGCTGATAGTGAACATATTGATGTTGATGCCCATCACAATGCAGTTGAATACGCGTTGCGCGTTTGTTAGAGACACATCTTATCCACTCCGTCCCACACCCTCGTTTAAATCTTAGGCTCTCAAAATAACAGTCAATGCCACCTCTTCCCACTAGCCCGTATTTTTGCCGGTTTGGGTGTCGACAACTTCGATCTCCACACTTATTTATCGTCGTCAATTAACTGGCTCTTAAATCACACCCGTCCACCCTCCTCCCCGACTTACTGCGCCCCCGTCCGTGCCGTCTCCTGTCTCCTATAAATATCGAGAAAAAGCTTCCGCATTACTCGTCAATAGCATGCGGTTTTCACACCTTCTGCTTGCTTCTCTGCTGATTTCCCTCTGGGCCCCAGTAGGATGTGTTTCTGAGGCGATTTCAACGTCAGCCTCCAGTAATTTGGAGGTGACTGAACCCAGCCATGTGAGTTATGGCCACGAGGAACCGTCGGAGGCGGATGGTTGGGTGCCCGTAAGCGAGGAGGAACTGGAGAAGTTACTTAAAGAAATCGAGGCAATGGAAAAAGCCCAAACGACAGACAGTCAGGATAAAACTACTGTCGCAATTGGAAGTGCTTGATTATGCTTCATACGGCCTGCAGGTGCGATGTCTGTTGGAGACACTTTCACGAGAGCGCTCACCTGGTTTTTGAACAGACCTTATCCCGCCTTTTTTTTCCTCGGATGTTGGATCTGACTTATGCTACCTGTATGACCCTTTTTCCTGATGTTACATATTTTTTGAATAAACTGTGACGTATAGCTTGTTGGCCTAAAATCCTCACCCAACTGTGGCTAGTAATTCAGGTGCATAAGATTTTGCCTTGACGGTTACATTATCTGGACAG